GTAGGGAATGAAGATCATAGAATCAACTGGGTTGGAAGAGACCTCCAAGATCATCGAGTCCAACCCTACCGTGGTCACTAGACCATGGCACTAAGTGCCACATCCAGTCTCAGCTTGAAAACCTCCAGGGATGGTGAATCCACCACCTCCCTGGGCAGCACATTCCAATGCCTGAGCACTCCCTCTGTAAAAAATCTCTTCCTAATATCCAACCTAACCCTCCCCTGGCAGAGCTTGAGTCTGTGCCCTCTTGTCCTACTAAAATGTTGCAGAAGTGTCTCTTATGGTGAAATAGTTGGTCCTGTGCTTTTCCTTACAACGGAGAGCTCTCCTTTTGTCCACTAAAATGTGTAAATTAAAATTTAAAAATTAATCAGAGACTTCTGATTGACTAAAGATGTTATTATTGGTGGTTAGGAAGCATCAGTAGGAGGAACCCACTCCTCTCTAGTTATTGCACTGTTTGATGTGCTGGCTCTGTCACACTACATATGTCAGCTCATCTAACATCTCTTCAATTGGGTTGTGTTGAACCTTGATCTGTTGCTAGATCTGATTTTGTTCAGTGCTGAAGTTCTGCAAACTACCTATTGAAATTAAAACCTTTGATACAAAACGTTTGTACTGTGTTATACTGACAGCTGCTATGGCTGAAAGGCATTTCTTTCATTGCTGTGAAACACTTGAGCATTATTGAATCAGTGTTCATATTTAATCACAGAGCAAACGTTTCTGTGGCAGTCAAAAGGTCTCTAATGTAATTGGTATTTAGGAGTGCAGGACGTGTTACCTAGCTGTGGGCACTGGTGTGTGACACACTCTTGGCTCTGCAGTTGTACATCTTTCCCTTCCCAAGTGTGCTGGGGCTGCATCTAGTTCAGTTCAGTCTGGATCTTAAGCTGTGTTCCCTGGAATAGCTGCAGTGCCAAGCACATTCCTTTCTTTCCTTTCAGAGCTGAGCCTTTGACTGACTGGACTCCTTCTGCATTAGAAGTCACTGATACAAGATAAAATTTACTGTAGGATGTGTTCTGCTGGCTTTATAAGAAACCAAGACCACTAACATGCCTTTTGTCTTCTTTTCTGCAGAAATCACAAAACCACCACTAGCACCGAAACCAAAGATTATTGGTCATCTTTCTCCAGTAGCTGTCTCCAAATTTTCTCCTTCACTGCCAAGGGCTGATATTCTTCATAACCAGAACTCTCTGTCTAGGGGTCCCAAACCACCTATTGCTCCCAAGCCAAAACTCTCAGCTGACACTGAGGGCAAATCCAGTGTTTCTACCAACAATAACTTAAATAAATGCTCAAATGGGAAACTGCTATGTCTTGATGGAGAGCTGTATGAAGGAGACCAATGCAATGCTGATTGCCTAGAATCTGAGGGAGATAATGAATACATTGTAGTTCCTGAAGCTCAGCTTACTGTCAAGGACTGTAATGATTTGGAACATGAGCACGATCAGAACTTAGATTCTTCTGTGGAAAATGATGTCTCAGAAACTCTAGAAGAGGTAGAGAAGGAAGAGGATAACACCACTCATGATGAGAATACCAGTAATCAAGAAGTCATTGAAGATGAGTGCCCTAACTCTTCAGATATTGCTGAACCAATGGAACCAGACTCTGAAGAGTCAGCCAGAGACCTTGACCAGTCCAAAGCACCTTGTGAGGAGTTGTCAGATGCCCCAGATGGGGATAATGATGCTTCTGAGAATGTAGATGAAGATGAGGATGTTGTAGGTGATTGTATTGAAACCAAAAACAAGCAGGAAACTTCTTACAACCTGGAACTGGTCAAAGACAATAGTGATTGTGAGACTGACAGTGACAACATTTTGAATAGAGATGAGGAACTAATGGGTGATACCTACAAAGATACCACTGTAATGTCACTACCTGCAGATGAATCAATCCCAGGTTGTGAGGAGGCAGGGCAGGAGGAGGAGGAACTGCCTGACCTTTCAGAAGAGGCAGATGGGCATCTAGCACATGATGATGAGCATAGTGCTCATGCAGAGCTTGCTTTGAACGTGGAAGGGGAAGTAGAAAGTGCTGCCTGTGCAAGCTCTGACATGCTGCCTGATGAGGCCAGCGAAGAAACAGCCTCTGGCTTAGAATTGTGTGAAGATGAACCCAGTGCTGAACACGCTTTAGGAGAGTTCATCCATCAAGCAGCAGCTGAAGAGGAGGAAGCAGGCCCAGATGAGCACAATGATACAAACACAGGAAATGCCAGCGATGGCTGCCAGATCACTGAGAGGACAGGTGAGAAGACATCAAAGGTAGCCTGTGAAGCAAGCAAAGACTCTGGGAAAGGGGAAGAAGAAACTGTGAATGCAGAGAATATGGATGATGGCTGTCAAACTGCACCTTCCGAGAATGAATGCGGTGAGGAAATACCCATGGAACATTCAGATGGGAATCTTCAAACAGAAGGGACCTCTCTGCATGAATATGGTGTGAACTCTGATAGTCTACCTTGTAGTCAAGGGATGGAGCCAGAGCTGGAAGATGTGACTGTTGAAGAGCATAGTGAAAATACTGTAGAAACCTCTAAGTCAGATGAACTGCAACTTGAAGACAACGAGGAGGAAGCAAACAGCCTCAAAAGCAACCCAGATTCACCTCAACAGGAACTACTTGAGGAAGAGTTAGAAGTCTGTAAGGATTGCACAATTAATGTAGACTGTGGGACCAAACATGTTTTGCATGAAAATCTAGCAGTCCCTAAAGTGGTCATTGTGCCTGAAGAATCAGAGAAGAAAGAAAGTAGCAGTGATTCCCTAGATGATCCTTACGTGCTTCCTGCAGAAAACGAAATTGCTCATGATGTGCAGAATGATTCAGGAGCTGATCACAGTAAAAGGGATGAGCTAAGCGTGGATGGTGAAAACAACTTGCTGCCCACTGATCGTAAAAACATTGTCACCAGAACACGGTCACTCTCTGGGAAAATGCCAGGCTGTGTCCCAGAAACTGTTCCAGAAGAAACTGGACCTGAAACTGATTTACCATCTCCCCACAACAGCTCTGGGACAGAAAATGTAAGCAATAATTTGATTTCACTGGAAGGAAAACCAATGGAATCCAATAGGGTATTACCAACCAAGTCAAGACGTTTCATTTTTTATCCTCGCTCTTACTCTGTTGAAGGGAGAGAGATACCCATGTCTGTTTACAGAGAGAGTGATAGCTGTGTGCTGGGTGATGTTAGAATAAAAAGGACAGAAGACAACTTGTCTTTGCCTTGTGTCAATGGTTCCTCAGGTAGTTTTTCCCAGCAAAATCATCTTTCGTCATCTGGAGTATCTACTCCATCCTCAGTTGTTGATATACCACCTCCTTTTGAACTGGCCTACATCACTAAAAAGCCAATCACTAAAAGTTCCCCTTCACTTTTGATAGAGAATGACTCGCCTGATAAGTATTCCAAGAAAAAGAAATCTTCTTTTAAGCGGTTCCTCACCCTAAAATTCAAGAAGAAAACTGAAAACAAAGTCCATGTAGATGTTAATGTTTCCTCTTCAAGGTCCTCGTCAGAGTCGAGCTACCATGGGCCTCCAAGGCTCATGGATCTGGACAGGAGGAGCCTGAGCAGCTCACCTCAGGTGAAATCACACGTGGCAAAGTTCCGTGCATCGGAGTATCCCTCAACTCTTCTTTTCTATAAGGATGGTAAAAGAAAACTGAAAACAAAGTCCATGTAGATGTTAATGTTTCCTCTTCAAGGTCCTCGTCAGAGTCGAGCTACCATGGGCCTCCAAGGCTCATGGATCTGGACAGGAGGAGCCTGAGCAGCTCACCTCAGGTGAAATCACACGTGGCAAAGTTCCGTGCATCGGAGTATCCCTCAACTCTTCTTTTCTATAAGGATGGTAAAAGGAA